TGTCTGTCCTCAGAACCCATCTCTAGAGGGTGAACTCAGGACATTCACTGGGTACCAAGTCCATGGCTCCTTCTCTCTACTGTTTTTCTTTTTCTTTGTATCATACTATTTGAAAGTTCAGAGGTCTTCCTCCTCTGCCCTGCTTCTTTTGTTTGTTTGTTTTGTTTGTTATAGGGCTTGTATGCTTAAACAGACAAAGAGAAGGTAAGTGAGAAATGAGCCCCCTGAGGTATGGCCACACGCAGCAGTCCCTTCACCTCCATTCTCCTCTTGGAATTTGAGCATAAACACACACACACACACACACACACACACACACACTCACACTGTGCTCTCCAGCTGCCAGGTCCACGACTAGAACCACAAAGTTGGTCACATGGGATCCAGTACCTTAACCACCATGCCACCTGCTGACTCTCTGTCCTACTTCTTACTCAGACTTAACACTCATATCCTATCTACTTTCCTGGAGTGGAACTGAAGTTTTTCCTGGATAACACTTCTCCTACTATACTTTGATTTTAGGGATGAACCACCTTGTTGTGTGGTACCTGGGTGAGGAAGAAAGGGAGAACAATTTTCAGGTCTCCTCCTTTAAAAGGGGTGTCAGAGCAATCGAGTTGTGTATAAGAGGAGGGGCAGATTCTTTATCACTCTTTCTCTTTCTTTCCTTTCTTGTTTCCTTTTCTTTCTCTTCCTCTCTTCCTTCCTCTCTCTTCCTTCCTTCCTTTCTTTCTTCCTTCCTTCCTTCCTTCCTTCCTTCCTTCCTTTCCTTCCTTCCTTCCTTTCTTTCTTTCTTTCTTTCTTTCTTTCTTTCTTTCTTTCTTTCTTCTTTCTTTTTCTTTCTTTCTTTCTTCCCTCCCTCCATTCCTTCCTTCCTTCCTTCCTTCCTTCCTTCCTTCCTTCCTTCCTTCCTTCTTTCCTTCCTTCCTTCTTTCCTTCCTTCCTTCCTTTTCTTTTTCTTTTCTTTCTCTCTCTTTCTTTTTTCTTTTTCTTTCTTCTTCCTTCCTTCCTTTCTCTTTCTTTGCCAGAGGGCACAGGGCACAAATGCCTACCTGAGAGAAAGCGATAAATGTTTGCTGAGTATCCTGGGATATAGTAAACATTTAATGAATTTTAAATATTGACTTGTTGGCAAGTCATGACATATTTCTCCATGCAAAAATGCATCATGACTTTTCTGATGAAACCATATATATGTGTGTGTGCGTGTGTGTTTATATATTTAAAATATAAATATATGTAATAACATTGATTAGCTTGAAGACTTTTTAATGATTTCCCATTACTCATAGAATAAATTTTTAAATTCTTATTATGAACTAAATGTTAGCATCTTCCCAAAGTTCATGTGTGGATATCCTGTCTCTCTGTGATGAATTAGTAGGTGGGTCTTTTAGGAGCTAATTAGTTCATGAGGGTAAGACCCTCCTTGTAAGATGAGACACGAATGCTCACTTTCTCCCTCAGCTCTTTGGCAGTCTGGGATACAATGAAAATATGGACATGTAAAAACCAGGAAGAGAATCATCATCAGAACCGACCATGTATAACCTGATCTCAGATTTTCTAGCTCCTAGAGCGGTGAGAAATAAAATTATTTCATGTAACTCATCTCGTCTATGGTACAGGAAACCTCACTCGTTACTGTGTTTTGCTTTAACGCACTTTGCAGATATGACATGTTTTACAAATTAAAGGTTTGTGGCAAGAAACTGTATCAGTGCCATTTTTTCCCAATGGCATGTGTCTACTTTTCATGTCTCTGCATACACATTTCGGTTTTTCTCACAATATTGCAAATTTTTGAATAATTATTATGTTTTTTGATGACCTTGATAAGTGATTTTCGATGTGACTATTGTAATTTGGGGGGTCATTATGATGTACTCACATATAAGGTAAAGAACTTAATTGATAAATGTTATGTCTATATTGACTGGCTGTTCCCCTGTCTCCATCTTCTCCTGAGCTTCCTTCTTCCCCGAGACACAACAATATTTAAATTAGGTCAGTTAATAACCCTACAATGGGGGCCAGCAAATGGCATAGCGAGTATGTCACTAGACTTCCACATGGCCAACCATAGTTCAAGTCCTGGACCTGGTGGCTTGAAACTCAGGCTGGGCATGTGTGCATGCAAGCCCAAGATCCCAGGAGGAGAATGGTGAAGAAGGGTTAGACATAATGCTATTGCACACTTAATAGGCTATAACTTAGTGTAAACATAAATTTTATATGCACTGGGAAACCAAAAAATTGTGTGACTTGTTTTACTGTGATATTTGATTTCTTGTCAAGGTCTATGACTGAACATGCAATATCTCCAAGCTATGCCTGTATTCTGTTACAGCATCTTGGAATGACCCAGATATATGGTGTTGATGGTTACTAAGGTCTTTTATGACATGCCTGTTTTTACTCTCTGTTCTGATCTGAAGCTCTTTCCATTTCTTGACCATATTAAGATCTCCCTAGAATCTTGACTTTTCCTCTTTATGTTGATTCTATCTGTAATAACTTTCCACCTTGTAACTCACCCTAAATTTTTGTTTCCTTTTCGTTCATCAGGTCTTCAGTTGAATGTTCCATAATCTGGGAAATCTACTCTACAAACCCAATGTGGGGTTCATTAATCTTCCTATGAGTTCACTTGGGTTAATCTACTTTATCTTGCAGAGAACTGATTATTCCGGATTATAATGATAGGTTTACTTGTCTGTATTGCCCAGTAGCCAATAAAATCCTGAGGGGTAGAGACCATGTCCCTTACTTTTCACCACTTTATCTTCAGCACAGAATATACTAATGGCTCATAGTAATTTTTCTCTAATAAAATGTTTAATTAATGAGAACTGAATATCATTTGCTTTCTTTCTCCATGTAAGATAAGCAGTGTTTACATTTACAAATGAGGAATCTCAGGGTCAGTTTGCTTTTTTTTTTTTTTTTCTTTTTGGTGAACTGATCTTTATTTTATTACCTTACCTACAAATCATGCATGAATGCCCTGAAATAAGTTTTCATTGAATAAAACCAGTTTTACTCAGCAAAATTCAAAAGGGGAAACATGAGGCCTTTCTGGTGTAGGAAAAGCCTTTCAATAGTCCCTAAGCAATTTTCACAAAATAATAAAATGGACGCTAGTCTTACAGAAGTTTTGGCTTAATTTTACCAAGCACCAAGATGTGCCACAATAGTTAAGGCAAGGCAGAGACAAGTTACCAAAAGTTACTAATACAACAATATATTGCAGTCTGAAAACAGCCACTGTTTATTTACTGACCAGATTACAAAAACAATCATGGTGGATACCTTAGTTCATCCTTCTAATAAGTCTGTTGATCTGGTCTTCCCTGTTGCCAGCATCTCCACCTTCTACAAAATGGGTGGTCTTTTTCTTCATTCCACCCCGTGGAGAAGATAATTTGAAGGGCCAAAGGAAGTTATTTCCTTCTTTAAAGCGTTTTCCAACAGTATAGATTTCATGAATCAGATCCTCCATGCATATGATGCCAAATTTACCAAGAGATCGTGCAATCAAAGAGTTATCTGTCAAAGCAATTCGCTTCTTATTGATTTTGCCATAACCACGTTTGTAGATCAGTTCATTTACTGACTTCAGGTTTGGGTACCCCCATGCAATATATGGTTCCACAATTCTCAGCATATTAATTGAGGCCTTGTTGAGTTTAACAAAGGTGCCATTGAAGATCTGGCGAAGACGAAGAAGCTGCAACACCTTTCGAACCTTTGGGCTCACTCCATTGATACCTCTGATCCTGATGACAAATGCCAATTTGGGTTCTGCAGGTACATAGAAGTTGCCAACTTTTCCTTTTTCTTGGTGGCTTCCGCGGCAGCAGGAACCTTTTTCTTGGTTTCTGATGCAGCAGGAACCTTTTTCTTCTCTTGAACACCCTCCATGGTTCCAGTCGGAAAAGAGAGGGTCAGTTTGCTTTTGAATTTGTTTTAATTAAAAGTCGGTCTTACTCTATTATATCAGTTGCTTCTTTGACTTAGAAAAAGGTATTAATTATTACCATGGAACCAACTGGTTGCCCTTTTCTAGCCACTCATGATAAATCTTCAGTGGTGAAATTTCATATAAACAGACTATGTTAATTACATGAAAAACAGCACCACACAGTCCCAGTTAGGCTTCTAAGATGCTGTGCTCTGCAGGCTAGGACCACATGAGAGGCTGAGATTTCATCTGTAGTCCAACCTGAAGACCAGGCTTGGTGGTTAAGAAATAAAAACTAGATCCTAGGCAGGATCTGTGAGCTCAAGCCTAGCCCAGGAAACAAAGTAAAACTCTGTTTTAAAAAAAGCTGGATGTGGCACCAGCAGTTAGTGTAATGGCTATGTCGCTGGACTCCCACGTAGTCGACCACGGTTCGCATCCCAGACCCGGTGGCTTAAGACTCATGCTGGGCATGTGTGTGTGCATGCCCAAAATTCTGAGAGGAGAATGGAGGAGAAGGGATTGTGGCATGGCCATCCCCCCTGGGGGGTGATTTCTCACTTTCTGTCTCTCTGTCTGTCTGGCGAGCACACATGCCCTATAGCAAAAAACTTCTCAAAAAAAAAAAAAAAAGCTGGATGTGGGGGCACATTCCTGAGGGAGTGAGGAAGGAGGGTTGCAACGGTGAGACTCTGTTTAAAAAAATGAAATACTAACACCTAGTTCTCTAGAAAGACAGGGATAAAGCTGTAATGTCTAAAATTGTGAAAGAGAGCTTTTCAAAACATGTCTAAGTGGCTTAGATTAGTATGCATGTAAAGACTTCTGAGCAGAGTATGGCACGCAGTAAATCTTCACATAGTAATAACCATTATTCTCATATGAAAAGAACTACGTATGCAGCTGGATCCTTTTACAGCAAATTTCGCAATAACCATCCACACTCATATTCAGCAAACAATCAGTTAACACTTCCGACTGAAGGAAAGAAAAAAAAAAAAAGGAACTAATCATGTGTCTCAGAAATTCTCAGCACTGCTTCTAGGGTTTAGAAAGACTTTTAGAAGAAGCATGCAGATTTAAAGTGAGTGAGTTGTGCAGTGGGATAAAGTGATTGCTTCTGGACAAAAGAACCTTGAGGCACCTCCCCAGAGCCTCCCACTCAGCAGACACATTGCAGACATTGCAGCCTGAAGAAAGGTAGGTCAGGGACTTTTCTTCTTAGAATCTGGGGCTGATGACTTTTTCATTTTTTGGTATGCCTGAGAGTGGAATAAGAAATCCATTGGGCCCCTTGTGTTGATATCAGTTGAAATTTTAAGCTGGGGTGAGTCAAGTACACTCTTGAGGATTTGGGGAACAATCTGCTACAGAGGATGGGAGCAAAGATAGGGTCCTTAAGACTGAGCCTGGGCACTGTATAAGTTTTGTTTCTAAATCCACAGGCTGTCACAAAAGTAAAAGCAGTATTTGAAACCTCGGAATTCTGAATGCCCCTTCTTCCAAGGTCTTTATTCTCTGTGTCTGACTTGGTGTTTTTATTCACTGAAGTGAATGATAAAATTCACTTTTATAATGGAAAAGATTTGCCACTTGCAGAATTTGATGGAGATGGTATAGAGGAAAGGAGGCTCCCCAGTTTTATGCATTTAGACTGACCCTGAGATAGACCATGGCCTGACCCAGTTCCCGACAGACTTTGGCACCTCTCCTTGGATACCCAAGCCATAAACTGAAGCTGCTCATGAGGCATTCTGTTAATAAAACACATCCTGAAGAGTCTTAGCATTTTTAAGAGCAAAATGAGGCATGGAAATGAGTGTGGGCCACACATTAGTTCCTAGAATTAGGCAAATGAAGCCCAGAGAAGTGAAATTCTCATCCAGAATCCCGCAAGTTAATGGAAGAGTTAAGAAATCAAAACTCAGACTTCTTGATTCCATGGCCAGTCATTATTCTTCCCAAGTCACCATTTTATTTTATTTTATTTTATTTTATTTTTTTATTTTATTTGCAAGAGCTCATCAGAGAGACACAGAGAGACAGAGAAAGGAGAGGAGAAAACACCTCTCCACAATTCCTTCTCCTTCACTTCTTGATCTTGTTGAAATTTTAGACACACATGCACATGCACCCAGCATGTTTCTTAAGCCACCAGGGCCAGTTCTCCAACCAGAGGGTCAACCATGTGCGATTTGGCTGCCGTAAGCACTAGACCATGGAGTTGACCCACCCAGGTCACCACTTCAACATCACCATCATTCTCCACCAACAAACCATTCAGGTCCAGATCTCCTTTTGGGCATCTCATCTATATTATAAGCTGCCATGAAGGGAGGGGGAACTTTGAACCACCATCATCAAGTCCCCTTGTTAGCAATCATGACCCATGATGGAGAAAGGGATAAAAATATTTAACAAAAACCTGGTGTTGGTGCTGATCTAGAAGAGGCTGGAATCAGCAGAAGAAGAGGGAGGTATTTTCTAGGTTTCCCCACCTTTGTACTAGAGACAAACAAACAAAAAAGACAGTTTTCAATAGCCTGACATGTGTCACAGATAATATGGCAAGACTATAGTTCGGGCTCGTCCCTGACTTAGAAGAATTGTTACTCATATCTGTTCAATATTCACTGTCATTTTGATTTCCTTGACAGGGAAGTTAAGCCTTGGAGAGTAAACGTAAATTTTGTTCTTTGATAATTTACCTGCTCTAAGCAATAAACACATGGATTTCTGTGGTATGAAGGGAGGAAGCAGTTACATGAATTTATGGTCCAAGTTCCTCAGAAAGACAAGAGTACCATCACTGAGTAACCAGAATATGACCTGTATTACCAGGAAATAGTGAAAGGACCACAAGGATCACTTGAAAAGCATTGTTTTGATACTCTGCTTCTGCCCTAGGATAACTAGCAATTTTACTAGACAGGCACTAAGTATAGAAGGGACTACCATGGGTGTCTGATAAGTAATAATCTACATTTTATACTTTCTTGGTTTAAAGCCATGTCTGAAAGATCAAGACAGGGGTTTCTTTGCATTTAAGAGAAATAAACTAAGGTACACAATAAGCTGGACTAGGAAGAATCATCTTTCATTTTACAGCAAATTGACTCCTATGCTATAAAAGAGAAGTAACAGAGATTTCTTAAACATCCCCTTTCACTATGTATTGAGTAATTTCTGTGCTGAGATTGGCAGAGGTGAGGGGGAGGGATAGTGAGAAGTTGTGTTTAAGAGAAGGCAGAGAAGAGGTACTGTCAATGTACAAGAAATTCGTTGCTAAAGTGGGTCTTCGTTGCCGTTGTTTCAAGGTAGCCACGGGAGGAGTAGAACATTCCTATGACTGGGTTCGACATGGGCAAATGCCCTTACTGGGAATGGAATTACTGAGGTGAAGAACTAAAATACAAGGAGTCTTCAAAAAGTTCACGGAAAATGAAAATATTCTAAAACAGGATTATCATTACAGTTGCACAGCTGTGAATATATTGAGCCATTGAGACCCACCTGCAATGGCACAAATGGTAGGCTGATGTTCTGCAAAACTGAAGCCACATGAAGTCTGTGGTTTGGATCTCAAGTCATCTGAAGTGTGTCAGGTGTCCTCATGGCCATGATCCTGGCTGGCCCAAAGTCTGGTGGTAGGAAGAATCACATCTGATAAGGCCCTGTTAAGGGTCTCCGTGTTTCTATCTCATTAAAATAATCCTTCTAAAACAAAGAGAATAAAAAAGGCAAAAAAAAAATCCCACTCTATATAGATTTAAAATATTTGGTGCCACAATAAACTCATGATTTTTTAAAAAATCTTTTGCCACAGGATACATGCATTCCACCAGAGAGAGAAAGGAGAGAGCATCCCCCAGTGGGACATGGTGATACTCAATCCCTTCCTCCATTTCTCCACCCTCTTTGGGTGTGCACATACATGTCTGGCATGTCTTCCAAGCCACTGAGACCAGGATTTGAACTGCCTGTTCAACTCTGTGGGATCCAACTCCCATAATCACCACACCGTGTGGCTGGCCCAGTAATACACTGTACTTTAATTCCATTTTCCTCAAACTTTTTGAAGTTCTTTTGTAAGTCAAATTGTATTGGGGTTTCAAAAATAAAAAAAGAGGGAACCAGCAGTTAGCGTAATGGCTATGTTGCTGGACTTCCATGTAGTCGACCGCCGTTCACGTCCCAAACACGGTGGCTTAAAACTCACGCCGGGCGAGTGTGCGTGCGTGCCCAAGATCCTGAGAGGAGAATGGAGGAGAAGGGATTGTGGCGTGACCATCCTCCCTGGGGGGTGATTTCTCGCATTCTGTCTCTATGTCTCTCTCTGTCTGTCTGTCGAGCACACGTGCCCTGTAGCAAAAACCTCTCCAAAATAAATAAATAATAATAAAAAAATTTAAAAAATAAAAATTCAAGGTAAGCTTAGGATAATAGATATGGGCTGAAGTAGCAGAGTTCCTCTTATCAACAATGTTAAACATTTTAATTTCATTTGTTTTTTTGTTTGTTTGTTTGTTTTTGTGTGTGTGTGTGTGTGTTTGTGTGTGTGGTTTTCTGTTTTGTTCTTTATCTTTATTTCTTTTTTAATTTTTTGGGAGAATTTTGCTATAGGACACATGCACCCACCAGAAAGACAGGAAGCAAGAAATCACCCCCTGGGGAGATGGTCACACCATGCTCCCTTCTCCTCTGTTCTCCTGGGATCTTGGTACACACACACACACACACACACACACACACACACACACAGCATGAGTCTGAAGACATGGCATCCAGGAGTCAAACCGTGGTTGGCCATTTGGCACTCTAGCGACATAAGTGCTACACCATCTGCTGGTCCCAAACATTTTAACTTTATACCAAGTAAAGTGGAATGCAAAGGAAGGATTTGGAAGGATTTTAAAGATGAGGATGACACAATTGATCTGCATTTTAACATGATTATTGTGACTACGAAGTGGGTATTGGACCTACAGTGTCACAGGTGGGCCTGATTGAACATTAAGTGACAATGGCAATACTGATAGTCACAGGATGATGGCTTGGTTTACAGAGATGGGAGAAATACAGAGTTGAAAATGGTTGTGTCGGATCAGGAGAACATGGCTGATTAGAAATAGAAGGTAGATAAGAGAAGTTATCAATGAGAAACTACCAGGTTTTTAAAATGGACAACTGAGATCATTGTTAGGCCTTTATGAAGAAAGGGCATTAATATTAGTTTTTTTTGTTTTTATAGAATATATATACAAATACACAATGTCCTTTTTTTCCTCTCACTCTTTTGTGGTATACCATCCCATAACCTTTTGTTCACACGTAACTATTAATTGCTTTTTTACCTGAGATACAACCCCCTCCCCCCACTTCCCTGACTTCCCACATGAAATCTCTGGTATCTGCAGTTGCCCTCTCTACATCCATGTCTTCAAATCTTTCAGTTTCTGCCATACAGTACAGACATTCAGTATATATATTGAATGGGGACATACAATGTATGTCTTTCATAATCAAGTTTATTTCACTTAGCATGAAATCTTCAAGATTTATCCACTTTGTATAAAATGACTGAGTAGTATTCCATCATGTGCTTACTGCTACAATAAACATGGGTGTACAAATGTCTCTCCAACAATGATTTTCTGTCTTTTAGGTAAATACTCTGGAGTAGGATTACCAGGTCATATACTAGTTCTATTTGTAAGTTTTTGAGGAACCTCTATATTGTTTTTCAAGTGATTGTGCTAATTTCCATTCCCATCAAGAGAGTAAGCTGTGTGGCTAGATCACATCATTGCAACAGAGCTGGGTTTTTCTTCATAAGAATTTTTTAAATTCTCAATTGAATCTTTTATAAATGTATACATATGTTGTATTTATTCTTATTTCTTTTCATATTTCTTCTTCAGTCAGTTTTAGTACTTACTATCTTTATAGAAATTTGACTATTTTGTATAAGTTATCTAGTTTATTGACATAATTTTTAAAGAGGTTTCAGCCTTTGGGTGTCGGTGCTCACCAGAAAGAAAGAGAGAGAAACAGAGACAGTGAGAAGGAAAGAGAAATCATCCCATGGGTACAAGGTTGAACCACAATTCCTTCTCCTCTATTCTCCTCCTGGGATTTCGAGCATGTATGCACACACATCTGGCATGATTTTCAAGCCACTGGGTCCAGGACCAGAACCATGGTCTGCCATGTGGGAGTCCGGTGATGTAACTGCTACACTGTCTGATGGCCCCAGCTTATATTTTAGTAGCATCTCTTTAATCCTCTTATTTAAATAAGATTAGTATAAAATGTAAATAAATAAATAGATAAAATTAAAAATAAATAAATAAATAAGATTAGTATATTATCTCTTTTATTCTTGATGTTTGTAATTTCTTTTTATAGTTTTTCTTATTCTAATTAGGGATTTCTCAATTTTGTGGATCTTTTTGAAAGAATTACATTTTGGTTTTGTAAATTTTCTATTTTTTTCTGTTCTTTACTTGTATTATTTTCACTATAGTTTGTTATTTTCTTCCTTCAATTTCTTTTGCATTTCGTTTGCTTTTTTTGTTTATTAAAGTGGAAGATTAGATTATTGACTTGAGATCTTTTTTCATTCTCAAATATACTATTATTGATTTCTAAAATAATTTCATATGTAAGATAACATACATTGCACCTTTTCAATTTTTATGTTTATTGAGATTTTTCTATTTTTTAATATTTACTTAATAGCCTAGCTTATTATTTATTCTTCAGATTGTTACATGTACATTTGAAAAAGTGTATAATTTTGTTACAGTTCTTTGTAGAAGCCTGTTAAGTCTAATTGGTTTATAGTGTTGTTCAAGTATTTTCTTGTTTAAGATATATCTAATTTTTCTATCCATTGTAAAATAGGGACATTGTTTTTTTCAACATTTGCTATTCAGTTTTGCTTCACATATTTTAGGGATTTTTAGGTACATATATTTTTATAATTGTGATGTCTCAATCATAGATTGACTCATCACAATACTATAGCCATTCTAAACCTTTGGCTATTATTTGTATATAGTATTCTGTTTTTTAAAAAATCTTTCTGTACAATTTTGTGGGTGTTTTCCTTGTTATTTTATTTTTTCTAGTTTTTGTTTGTTTGTTTGATTGTTTTGTTTGTTTTGCTTTAGGACATGTGTGCTCACCAGAGAGACAGAGAGACAGAAAGTGAGAAATCACCCCCTAGGGGATGGCTACACAGCAATCTCTTCTCTTTCACTCTTCTCTTGGGATTTTTGGCACACATGCACAAGCACCCAATATGAGTTTCAAGCCGCCAGGTCTGGGACTCAAACCACATCAGCCACATGGGGGTCCAGCTCCTCAACCATCATGTCACCTGTTAGCCCTTTCTCACTACTTTCAAGATGCTCTCCTTATCTTCATCTTGCAACAATTTGTACTGTGTGTGATGGAGAACATCTTTGAGTTTATACCACTTAGAATTTGTTGAGCTTCTTGGATATGTGGATTAATGATTTTCCTAAAGTATGTGCAATGCGAATCTACTATTTTTTTTTTGCCCATTTATCTCCTCTTCTTTTGAAATTTCCATTATGTATTTGGTAGTGTGCTCTGTTGTGACCCATGGGTCTCTGAGGCTCTGTCAATTTTTGTCTCTTTTTCCTCCTATGCTTCAGACTTAAACTCTAGAACAATCTTGGTCTGTCTTCAGGTGTGTTGACCCTTTCATATTCCACTTTAAATCAGCTGTTGAACTCCTCTAGTAAAATTTTTATTTCAGTTATTGAACTTTTCAATTTCAAAATTTCTGTGTGGACAGTTTTTATATTTGCTTTTTCTATATTAATAGTATATATTTAGTCAGAAATCATTTTCATATTTTCCTTGAATTACTCAGACATGGTTCTTTAATTTTAAAAACATTTATGATTGAAAATTTCAAACCCTTGTCAAATAAGTCCAACAGCTCTGCTTCCTCATTAATGGTTTCATTGACGGCTCTTTTTCCTGTATATGGGTCATACTTTCCTGTTTTTTTGTTAGTTTTAGTTTTTGAGTGTGTGTGTGTGTGTGTGTGTATGTGTGTGTTTTCAAAATTTTTGTTGGGGCCAGCAGGAGGCGTAGTGGTTAAGGAACTAGAATTCCCACATGGCTCATGGGGGTTCGAGTCCTGGACCTAGTGACTCTCTCTCTCTCCCTTGCAAAACTCATGTAAAAATAATAATATAATTATAAATAAATAAAATAAATAATCCTTTAAAATTTTTTTTGTTAACAAGTGGACATTTTGAATTCAGTGCAGCAATCCTAATTAGATTCTGATTCTCATTCCTGAGCTTTGCTGTTATTTGTTGCTGTGGTGACTTTTGTCATTCCTGTTTGTTTGCTTAGTGGTCTGATTAGGTCTTCTCTGAAGTATGCAACACACAGATCCTATTCTGCAATACACACACACACACACACACACACAGAGAGAGAGAGAGAGAGAGATCCTATTATTTTCTGATAGTCCTCTGTGTATGGGAAGATGCAAGTTCAGTGTCACAGCAGTTTACAACTCAATATTAGCCACCTTTACTTCTGGCTTGCACAGATCCTCAAGGTCAAGCCAAAGATGATGAATTAGGGTCTTCTCAGGTCATTTTTGGGCATGCGCACAATTCTGAACATGCATGTGACACTGGATTGGCCTCACAGACTTGCACTGGCCCCTCTTGGTCCACTTGGCCAGGGCAGACTTTGGGTCCTGTGGGATGCTTTATCCTGAGGAATCACAGACAGGCTGTACGCTCTGCAGCAGATGGACTCAGCCCTACAAAGCTTACCTCTTGCCTCTCCTGTATTGCTTTCCTAGGGCTGTATTTGGGATTTACGGGCCACCTCACCACTGAGAACCACAGGTAGGCCCTACACTCTGCAGCAGATAGACTTAGCCCCATATGGCTCATCTCTTGCTTCTCCTGGATTGCCTTCTCAGAGCTCCATGTAGGACCCAGGGCTGCCTTACTTCCAGGAACCATGAGCAGGCTCTGTGGGCTTCCTGGCAGATAGACTCAGCTCTCCATAGCTCATCACCTGCCTCTCCCAAGCTACCAATGAAAACTTTGAGTACACCAAGTCACCATAAAGAAAAAATAAACACTAACCATTTTGCCTGAGTCATAGCTCTCCCTTATCACTTCTAGGACCTTATCCCAAATTATATTTCTTATTATAGCACTGCTTCAGCTGCCATGACTACAATGCCAGGAATGGACCAGACCACACTGGAGACCGGTCCTGATGTTCTGCAGGCAAGCCAGCTTTCTTATCTACAATCATATCTGTGGACTAGGATGCCAGAGAAGTTTCTGAAGGGAGAACCGAAAGTCCTTGGGGTAAGTCAGTTGTCGGTCTGGAATAAAGACCAGTAACATGGGGGCCAAGTGGTGGCAGAGCAGTAATGAAACTAGACCCATATTGTAGAGGTTTTTAACTTCACATGCTGGAACCTGCATCAGGCATGCTTTCGCACAATTGTGATCTGGATCAGCTGAGACTGTAGGTGGATCACAAAATGAAGATCCTATTTGGGGGTGCCTATTTTTCTCTCTGTCTTTGTCTCTCCCTCTCACAGAAGAAAAACCTTTTTCAAAAGAAAGAAACTTCTTTTCTTTTTCTTTTCTTTTTTCTTTTCCTTTTTTTTTTTTTTTTTTTTTGGCTATAGGGCGCGTGTGCTCGCCAGAAAGACAGAGAGAGACAGAAAGCAAGAAATCACCCCCCAAGGGGGATGGCCACACTGAAATCCCTTCTCCTCCACTCTCCTCTCGGGATCTTCGGCATGCACGCACATGCGCCTGGTGTGAGTTTAAGCCACCGAATCCGAGACTCGAACCACAGTCGACTATGTGGGAGCCCAGTGACGTAGCAATTACACTAATTGCTGATCCGAAAAGAATTTTTTTAAAAAGAAAAAAGCCAGTAGTGTACAATTACAACTGATTAGATCTAATACCAAATACTCTGTCCTGCTAGCCTCATAATTTACCAACAAACCCTAAGGACATCAGTATTCAATATCAAAGCCATATCTTTTTAAGATAATACAACAGTCTTATCACATAATGCTTCAAATTTAGCTGTATTTAAAGTATAGTGGCCTATTCTTTTCAGTCAACCTCTTGAAACCTTTGTGCTGCAATATTTCTCTTATAAATAATCTAGAGTTTTTGGAAAAATCCATCCTGATAAGCTTTACCTGCTAATTGAAACATTTGGTCCATTTATATTTAATGTAATTGCTTATATTTTGGGGGTTGTAAGTCAGCTATCAGCGTAGTTTTATTTTTCCTACTTTTTTTATTTCTCTGTTTCTTTTTCCATTATTGCTTTTCCAATTGATTTGTAAATCGTACACTTCTACCATTTTTATTTTGAAGAAGTTTTTGCTATAGGGCGCGTGCGCTCACCAGACAGACAGAGAAAGACAGAGAGACAGAAAGTGAGAAATCACCCCCCAGGGGGGATGGCCACGCTGCAATCCCTTCTCCTCCATTCTCCTCTCAGGATCTTGGGCATGTACGCACACTAGCTATGCGTGAGTTTTAAGCCACCGAGTCCGGGATGCAAACCGCAGTCAACTACATGGGAGTCCAGCGACATAGCCGTTATGCTAACCGCTGGCCCCTCCACTTTTACCATTTTTATTGATTATATTAGGTACAATTTTTTAAAGAATTATTTATTTAATTTTAATTAATATTATTATTATTTTTAAAATTTACTACAGAGCACATATGCTCACTGGAGAGAGACAGAGAAAGAGAGAGAGAGAGAAACTGAGAAAGCAAGCCATCAAGCCTGGGACTTGAACTTTGATTGGCCATGTGGGAGGCCAGCACACCTTAACCACTATGCCACCTGCCAGCCCCTAGGTTACAGTTTTTGTGTATGACCTACCCAGCTCTAATGTCAACTGATATTATTTTATTGCTTTCTAAACAATACAAGAACCTCAAAACTCTTTAAATCAATTTACTTCTCTCCAAACCTATATGCTATTGTTGTATTTTAATCATATATTGATGTTAACCCCACAAGAAATTGTTTATTCGGCCAATGTTCATTTAGACATATATAAATTTTTACCAGAAAAAAATATATAATAAGGCTAGGTCATGGCCTAGTGGTAAAGCTGGATCCCATATAGGCAACTATGTGGTTTGAGTCCTGGACCTGCTGGCTTAAAAAAAGTGACAGATATATTTGTGTATATGCCCCAAATCCTGAAAGGAGGAGAGATAGATAAGGGATTACAGTGTGACCATTCTTCATGAAGGGAAGGGTGCTTTCTTGCTTCCCTCCTCTGTGTCTCTCTGGTGAGTGTACAGCCTTCTCATAAAATTTTTTTAAAATGTTTCATTAGCGCCCGCAGGTGGCATGAAGGTTAAGGTGTCTGGAATCCCACATGACCATCTGCGGTTCGAGTCCTGGGGGAAAAAAAAAGTTTCATTACATCAGACCTACTCTAGAGTTTTGGGTCACTTATATAATTAACCTAAGCCTGGAAGAGCAGTAAAGAAACAGCTCTTTGTGCACAAGTTGATGCCCCTTCATAGCCCTTTCTAACAGCTATGGCCCCATATTTTCAATCTCTCTCTGTCTGGTACCTTTTCCTAATCTGATCCTTAGAGAACGAAAAATCTCCCATTCTCTGAGCATTTCCATTTGCAGTCTCAGATTGATGTGCCAAAGAGAACTGGTTTAAAGAATGACAGGTTAGGAACTGCATTCAATGTGGGTTGGGAATATGTGCCATAATGGAAGTATTCAGCCATAAAGAACAGCAAAATCCTGTCATGTGACACAACATGGATGAACCTGAAAAATATATTGCTAAATCAAATAAACTAGACTGTGAAAGACAAATACTATATGTCCCTGTTTAGGATATACTTAAAGTGTACACTCTATGGTGGAAACCAAAGATCTCGAGCACAGAAACAGAGAAAGTAATGATAGATATCAGAAACTGCATGGGTGGGTGCTTTGGGAGAAAAAATATTTAATGAACATAAGAATGCATGTAAATAAGAGGAGGAGGTTTTGGGACAGTGTACTATAGCGGTCAAGAAGGTGGGCAATTCAGTGCACACTTCCAAAAAACAGAATAGAACTATTAGCAAATGTGTACAATATAATGTAAAGTTCAACGTTGAAAAAGACGCCTATGTGTGTACACTTGATTTGATTAGTACACACTGTATGCATGCTTAAAAAAATACAGGACCCTAAAAAGTTATACATTGAATGTATGTAAACCAGAAATCATAAAAAAAGAGGGACCAGCAGTTAGTGTAATGGCTATGTCGCTGGACTCCCACGTAGTCGACTGCAGTTCGCGTCCTGGACCCGATGGCTTAAAACTCACGCCGGGCGCATGTGTGTGCATGCCCAAGATCCCGAGAGGAGAATGGAGGAGAAGGGATTGCGGTGTGACCATCCCCCCTGGGGGATGATTTCTCGCTTTCTGTCTCTCTGTCTCTCTCTGTCTGTCTGGCAAGAGCATGCGCCCTATAGCAAAAACCTCTCCAAAAAAAAGAGAAAAAGATTGACAGGTTAGGGCAGGTAAAAGAACATTAAAGTTAGAGGTTTATTTCTAGCCCTAGATTCAAAGCACTGGGAAAAGGAAATGTGGATACTTTCAATCTTTTTTCCTCATTTTTTTTGGGAGGAAATATGGTTATTTTTCATATTGACATACATTATGCTTGTTTATTTTAACATACTAATAAGTATTTTAAGTAGACATCTCTCTCTCTCTCTCTCTCTCTCTCTCTCTATATATATAATTATAAATATTTTTATAAAAATATATCCTATATATAAAATACATATATATGATGTATATATTTACTGCCAGAAGGCACATGCACTTGCCATAGAAAGATAGACAGAGAGAGAGAACAAACTCCTCTCACCAAGGAGTGGTCATGGAGCATTCTTTTTTTCTTTATTTCTCATTCCTGTCAGGATACTTACATACATACATACATACATACACGTGTATCCAGCATGTTTTTCAAGCCACTGGGACCTGGACTTGAAGCACAGTTGGCCATGTGAAATCCTGCTTCCAATGCACTCCACTTAACCACTGCACTGGAGGGCTGGCCCCCATATAGACTTTCTATGATAGTTTTAGGTTCACAAAAAAAATTGAGGGGAAGGTACAGATATATCCCTCATATTCTCTCCCCGCCAGCACATAGCTTTCCCATTATCAGCCATCCCCAAGACCCCCACACTAAAGTAATAAATTTGTTAAAATCAGTAAAACTATTATGACACATCACTATCACTCCAAATGTACAATTTGCACTAAGTTTACTCTTTGTGTTGTATGTTCAATGAATGACAAACATACAATGCCATATATCCATCATTATAGTATCATGTGAAGTACTTTTGCTGCCCTAAAAGTTCTCTGTACTCTGCTTATTCATCATTTATTCCCCCATCCCTGGAAACCTGTGTGTGTGTGTGTGTGTGTGTGTGTGTGTGTGTTAATTTTTTTTTAAATTGTTTCCATAGTTTGGATTTTCAAGAAAGTTGAAATTATATAACATACAATACTTTCAAGTTGACTTTTTTCACTTAATCGTATGCATTTTACTTTTCTGCAATTTTTGTCATAGTTTCATATCTCATTTTATTTAATAATTAAATAATTATTCATTATCTGGATGTACCACAGTTTGTTTATGCATTCATCTATTGAAGGACATCTTGGTTGCATACAAACTTTGACAATTATGAGTAGCTGCTATAAATATTATCTGTATGCAGGTTTTGTGTGGATAGAATTTTCAACTCCTTTGAGTAAACATGATTACTAGATTATATGGCAGCAGTATATTTAGTTTTGTAAGAAACTGAAAAGTGATCTTCCGAGTAACTCTGCCATTTTGAACATTTTGAATCAGCAATAAGTGAGAGTTCTTGTTATTCTACATTCTTGCCAGCATTCAGGTGTTCTCAGTATTCTGGATTTTGGCCATTATAATAGATGTCTAATGGAATCTCATTGTCATTTTAATTTGTATTTCCCTGATAACATCTGCTGTGAGCAGTCTCTTCATATGCTTTTTTGCAATCTGCTTTCTTTGGTAAATTACCTGTTAAAGTCTTTGACTTTAATAAAGGCCAGGTTGCTTGTGATCTTTTTATTGAATTTTAAGTGTTCATCGCATATTTTGTATAATGGTTTTTGTCAGATACATTATTTGAAAATACCTTCTCCCAGTCTGTGGCATGTTAATTTATCTCTTGGCAGTGTCTTTTGCAGGGGAGAACATTTTAAATTTAATAAAATCTAGGGACCAGCAGTTGGTGTAATGGCTATGTCGCTGGACTCCCACATAGTCGACTGTGGTTCAAGCCCCGGACCCAGTGACTTAAACCCAGGCCGGGCATGTGTGCCCAAGATCCCAAGAGTAGAATGGAGGAGAAGGGATTGCAGCGTGGCCATCCCCCTTGGTGGTGGGGGGGGTGATTTCTCGCTTTCTGTCTTTCTGTCTCTCTCTGTCTTTCTGACGAGCACACGGGCTCTATAGCGAAAAACCTCTCCAAAAAAGAAAAAGGTATGGTAAGAGAGAACAACCATGCCTTCTTCCCGATCTCAATGAGAAAGCCTTGAGTTTTTCATTGTTAAGTACAAAGTTAGCTGTAGATTTTTGTAGATATATGTTATCAAGTTTAGGAATTTCCTGGTTTACCAAAAGTGTTTTATAATGAATGAGCATTAGATTTTTGTCCAAGGTTTTGTCTGCAACTATTGATAAAGTCATATATATTTTTTAAAGACTCTTTTGCCATAGGTTGTGTGCATTTGCTGGAGAGAGAAAGTCAGAGACAAAGAGTGAGAAGATGAGAAATCACCTCTCAGGGGGGATAGTCATCCCGTAATCCCTTGTCCTCCAGTCTCCTCTCAGGATTTTAGGCATGCCTGCACATGCCCCAAGGTGGCTTTCAAGCTGCTGGGTTTGGAACTTGAACTATGGTTGATCATGTGGGAGTCCAGTGCCTTAACCAACATACCAAATGTTAGCCTCAAGATCATGTGGTTTTTCTTCTTTAGCCTGTTGATGTGATTTATTAAAGGAATTTATTTTTGGATAATGAGCCAACCTTGCTTATCTGGAATAAATCTCATTTGGTCATAACATATACTTCTTCTTATACATTTTTAAATTCCATTTACTATATTCTGGAGAATTTTTGCATGCATGTTTATAAAGATATTGGTAGGTAGTTTTATTTTCTTACAGTGTTTTTTTCTGGTTCTGCTATTATGGTAGTGCTAACTTCATAGAATGAACTGGGGAGTATTTTCTCTGTTTCTGTTTACTGTAAGGGATTGTAGAGAATTGGTGTAATTCTTTCCTTGAATATTAGATATAATTCAGCACTGAACCCTTGTGAACCTGGTGTTTTCTGTTTTGAAAAGTTAATTGTTGATTCAATTTATTTAATGATATAGACCTCTTAGATAGTTTATTTCTTGTAAAAGTGTTGACAGATTGTATCTTTAAGGAATGATCAGTTTCATTAAAGTTACCAAATTTGTAGGCATAGAGTATTCCTTTATCCTTTTTTTCTTTAAAGATATTTTTGCTGTAAGGTGCACACACTTGCCTGAGAGACAAATACAGAAAGCAGGAAATCATCCTCCCCCCTACCCCCGCCCCTGGGGGAGAGCCATGCAGCAATCCCTTCTCCTTCATTCTTTAGGGATTTGGGGGCACATATACACACACACCAGACATGAGTTTTGAGCTGCAGAATCTGGGACTTGAATCATGGTCAACTACGTAGGAGTTCTGTAATATAACCATTATACCATCTGCTGGTCCCCCTTTATTATCCTTTTAATGTCCATGGACTCTGTAGGGATGCTCCCTCTTTCATTTCAGGTATTAGTAATTTGAATGCTTTTTTTCCTTGTTATTCTGAATAGAAGCTTAGTGATTTTATTTATCTTTTCAAAAAACCAGCTTTGGGTTTTGTCAGTTTTGTCTATTAATTTCCTGTTTCCAATTTCATTGATTTCTGCTATAATAATAATTATCATTTTTCTTCTACTTCCTATGGATTTAATTTACTCTTCTTTTCCTAGTTTCTAAGGTGGAAACTTAAATGATATTAGATCTTTCTTTTTTTAATGTACTCATCAATACTATAAATTTTTCTCTAAGCACTGCATCTCACACATTTTGATAAATTGTTTTGATTTTTATTTCTTTGAATTCTTTTTAATGCCAAGAGCTAATTGAACTCTCACTTCTCTTTATTCAGATTCTTGTATTTATACTCATGTCTTCAGGCTCCAGACTCTAAGAGAAAGTCAAAATTGTCCTTTTTCTTCACCTGTATATACAGTAATTCCTTCCCTCAGGTTACTTTCCTTGCTAGAATAATTGCTTTCTCAATTCTGGGTCACTCATGCCTGAGTGTACGTGAAAGGAAAGATACAGTTGTGGAGAAAGTAGCTTCATAGATACCAGGGAAGCACCTCTAGGAAGATTCTAGCACATTCCGTTAATCTTGTAATTACTGAAGCAATGACAGACATATTGAGAGATAATTTTGGTTAAGTTACAATGTCTATAGTTTTATAGGTGGGGACTAAAAGTGACAAGAGAATATCAAGAAAGTTGACTATATCAAAAGATGGGAAAATAAATGTAAATTCATGATTGGATAAAGGTAACACAGGCATTGTGTTTTGTGGTGGACAATTTGTTTTTGCTTTCTTTATCATTTCTAGGTTGTACAGGTTCTGATTGCCCTGATGAATATCAGCTTTGGAATAATAATGATGACTGTCACATTGCCTTTCTATGGACATCAACCCATATCAGTGTACATAGGGTACACAGTTTGGGGGTCAGTGATGGTAAGTAGACTATCTTCTGATATAATTGGAAATAACTTAACTTAGTTGTTCATATTCTGATTTGAGAATCCTATCCTGATTCTGTCTCGTTCTATAACTTTGAGAAAGATCTTGTTTTGACTCAGTTTTCTTATATTTAAAGTTTTATAATCATATAAAATGCATTGCAAGCTAGGCAGATTAAATATTTAATATGTGTCAGTCAGAATGTATTTTTACAGTATGTGGCTAAAGACCCAAATCAGAATGACTTAAACATTAAAAGCATTGATTATTTAGCAACAATAAGCCCAATGGCTAATCATTTCCAGAGGTGATAAATTCAGTTTTTCAAGTACTGAATTGAGGACTGTTGGCAGGCAAATCAAACTCATTCACACATCTTATTGTTCACTAATGTTGTATATGCATATTCCCAAATCAACTATGGGTATGGGTCATAGACTTGCTATTTTTGGTTTAGACTAGTAAGGATTCACATCTATAGCTGGAAAAAGTTCATTGTCTCCTGAAGCTCAATAGAGAGTAAAGAAAAACGAAAGTTTTGTCAGCCAGGAATTAAAAAATATACATGATTTCTAGGCATTGTGTCTGGTCCAACTATCAAATGCCAGAAAATTGTTATCATATAAAATAAAATTGCTATTTTATATATTTTCTTTTATAAATTTAATAAAAATAACCATAATTTAAAATCAAATTAGAAATTAACAAAACTTAAAAATCTCTCCCCAAGTGCCAGCCAGTGGCATGATGGTTACAGTGGCTGGATCCCATATGAATGACTCTACAGTTCAAGTCCTGTAGGGATCCAGAGGCATGAAAAAACATGGTGGGCATGTGTGTGTGCATGCCCAAAATCTCAAAAGGAGGGAGAAATGGAGGAGAAGAGATTGTGGCATAATGATTCTCTATAAGAACTTTCCCTCTCTCTGTCTTTCTCTGGAGAATGCATCCTTTTGGAAAAATCTTCTTAAAAATCTTCTCCCAAAGGCAAAACACAAGAGAGTTTTCCTGCAAAATGAGGATGTAAATTGAGTATAAAACATTTTTTTATCTACTGACAAGAGAAAAATAAAATTTATAAATTTGTTTTTTTGTTGGAATCAGAAAACCAATCCAAGTATTATGTGATTTCTAGTCATCTATAAAGTTGAGAATGAGATAGTTTAGTGTTTTATTACAGAGCTGGCTTTTTGCTTCTCCTTATCTGTTAAAGCAAAAGTGCAAGATTTGAAAAACAAACCAAAAAAAAATGCTGATCTACTTCCAGGAAGTTGCTCAGCAGTTTATTTAGTAATACTAATACTGATAATAGCTCTTCTATAAGCTCTTTGTATAATCTGAGCACTTTACTAAGTGCTTTTTATATGTGTTGTTCCATTTCAAGCAATCACCACAAACTTTTGAGGGAAGGGTTATTATCCCTATCTTATGGATAAAAAAATGGGGACTTAGGTTTGGTAACTTGCCTCAGATCATATGACTATTTGATATAGGAATACAGGCTCAGATATGATTCATTTATTTCCAGAACTGTGTATATGTAACCACTCTAGTCTTCTGCTACCCTTTTAATTTCCCTTTCAAGATCACATTGGAAATCAATTTATGTAGTGTATGCCTTCACGAAGGGTCAGTAGTTTACCAGTCTGAGGTATCGCAAGACTAATGTAGGAATCTTCCTAGATGAAAACTTTGTTTACTTTATAGAAACTTTTGACTGATAGCTTCAATAATTCTTCCAATTTTAATGCTAAACCTCACCTGTAAAATACCTCATTTTTCTCCCTTATGCCAGTATCAATATCAAGAACCAGTCACAAATTTCTCCAAATTTTTCTGCTTTAGTTTCCAGTATATATATATGTGTGTGTGTGTGTGTGTCCCTTACTATGATCTCATTAAATTATCCTCACCTTAGTCTATTTATTCAAATTTAATTTTATGTATTTTTGTGACATTAAAAAGCTTTATTTCTATACATGTTCACATTCTTTGTTAAGTTTTTTCACCTGAAATACTTTTTATACTTTTTTCCTGTGGTAAATGAAGTCTTGCTACACAATTCTATCTTAAAATGTACATATACACATTGATAATATATGGATATATTTTTTGATATAATGCATTTCCTGTATCCCTTATTGAATTTTTTAATAGTTGTAGTGATTTTTAGTTGACATTCATGAATGTTTGTAGTATAAATTATGCTCACATTTTAGTGACAGTGATTTTAACCACTTGTTTCAAATATTTATTCTTTCATGATTATTTGGTTAATTACCCAGAATAGTAGTACATAATAGTCTACAACCTTATCTTGATTTTGACTTCTAATTGATGACCATAGAATTTTCATATTAAACAGGATAAAGATTTATAGAGTAAGACAATTGTTCCAGCATTTGTGGAAAGTTCAATTCATCTTTTTTTTTTTTTTTTAAAGTTTTTCTATGGAGTACATGTTCTCACCATAGAGAGACAAAGAGTAAGAGAGGGAAAGTTAAAAGAACCCCCGTCCAGAGGGGATGGCCACATTGCGATCCCTTCTCTTCCACTCTCCTCTCAGATTTTGGGCATGCACACACATGCAATCAGTGTGTTTTCCAAGCCATCGGGTCTGGGACTTGAACCTCATAGTTGACCACATGGGATTCATCCACCTTAAGTATCATGTTACCTGATGGCCTCAATTCATCATATTTTGTTAATAATGTTTGAGTCAATATTAAATTGTGTTAAATGTCTTATGTACATTGTAAACATAAATAGCAATTAACATGTAATTTTTCTTTTAGTCCATTAATTTTATAAATTAAAAGATTTTAGTGTAAAAATTCTATACATTTGAAGGAACATCCCACATAATTATGATTCACTTTATTTAATATGAGGGATAATTTTCCCTGCTATTATTTTTCCAGACGTGATTTAGATTACATAAATTAGCTCTGTATCTTGATATTTAGAAATTTGATGAAGAAATTCATCAAGCTGTTTTAGTAGCTCAGTCTCTTTTTTTTAAGAGTTACTTATTTAGGGACCAGCAGTTAGCATAATGGCTATGTTGGCTATGTCGCTGGACTCCCGTGTAGTCGACCACGGTTCGAGTCCTGGACCAGGCAGCTTAAACTCGCACTGGGTTCATATGCGTGCATGCCCAAGATCCCGAGAAGAGAATGAAGGAGAAGGGATTGTGGCATGTCCATCCACCCTGGGGGGTGATTTCTCACTTTCTGTCTCTCTGTCTCTCTCTGTCTTTCTGGTGAGCGCACATGCCCTACAGGAAAAATATCTTCAAAAAAAAAAAAAAGAATTACTTATTTAATTTTATTTATCATTATTAGTATTTTTTTAATTTGCTACAGGGTACATGCACTCACTAGAGAGAGAGGGAGAGAGGAAGGGAACATGAGGAAGTAAGTCACCGGGTCCAGGACTGGAATGTGGTTGGCCATGTAGGGGTCCAACACCTTAACCACCACACTGAAATAAAATTTAACAACAAAGTCAGAAACTCAAACAGTTAAATAGCATTACGCAGAGAGTACAACGGACTTGCCTCCACCCTTTTTAGATAAATAGAAACTAAATTCCCAATCGATGGGACTGAATGAACCAGTATATTCTAGTCATCATTTAATAATTAATGAATTTTTTTCATGATATTTTCAATATCATCAAGATATTTGGTCTTTTAGATTGCTTTTGAATATCTAATTCAATTTACATACCATAGAAGAATTACTTTTATTGGGAATTTGGAAGATTTATCTTTCAATGTTCTCAAAAGACTTAATACCATTGCAGTAAAATGTTTTTGGAAAAGATGGAAAAATTCTCCTGTGGATATTTCTGGTAGAATTTCTCTGTCCTTTCCGAGAAAAAGGAACAAAATTATTTTTAAACATTTGTGTTTGAGATTAATGGTCTCACATATCTATCTAACCTAAAGAATAGGTTTTAGTAAGTTAAAGTTTTCTAATATTTTTTGAAAAATAATTGCCAGAGCTCACATGCACTCACCAGAAAAAGATCGAGAGATGAAAGAGAGGGAGAAAACATTCCCCACTCTCAACAGGAGATGATCTCACCACAATCTCTTCTCCATTTCTTCATCTTATCAGAATTTAGGGTGCATACATACACACACGCATGGCATGTTTTTCAAGCCACCAGGGTTGAGATTCAAACCACGGTTGGTCATGAGGAACCTGGATTCCTTAACTGCTAGATAATGGGATTGGCCTATGTTTCAAATTTTTAACCAAATTTTTCTTTCTTCTACTAGTTTCTTATTTCAGGGTCCTTATCAATTGCAGCAGGATTGAATTACAAAAGGTCTGGTAAGTAATAGTTCTTTTTCTTTTTGTACTAAAAGAGGAAGGATTCGTTAAATGTGTATTTTGCCAGGGCATAAATCAAAGTTTGCTTCTTAATTTAAAAAATCAAGAGAGGGACCAGCAAATGGCATAGTGGTTAGTAGTTACATCGCTGGATTCCCATGTGGTCAACCATGGTTCAAATCCTGGACCTGGCAGCTTAAAACTCATGCTAGGCACATGTGTATGCGTGCCCAAAACCCTAAGAGGAGACTAGAGAACAAATTTTGGCATAGCCATTTTCCCAGGGGAAATCACTTTCTGTTTCTCTGTCTCTCTGGCAGGTGCATGCACCCTATAGCAAAAATCTCTCTTAGAAAAGAGAGACAGAGAGAAAAATTGTGTTTTTTACTTAGCAGGATCTATCTGTCTTTCAAAAATTGTAATCAAACAATTAAGATGTAATTACTGACATGAATTAAATATTTTGACAAAGGAGTTGCTCAGGAAATCTTTATGAGGATACGAAGAATTCCTGAGAAGAAATGTCAAATGGGATCAGCCAAACAGCTTAAAGCTTGAATTCCAGGCCATAACAATGACACCAAGTATTAGAGTACCATAACATATCTTGACTGATTGATTAAAAACTTAAATTTTTGATAAGAGAAATTCACAATAAGGCTATTATATAAGAAGAAACAAATTTAAGACATATCTCCATACTAATAAGTTTTAATAACTCCAGTGAAAGGCAAAACCCAAAATTTCAACAAATGTTTTTTTCTGGTTAGAGATCAAACTTTAGTTTTCTTTGCTCAAAGGGTAAATATTAAACTTTGGAGCATTATCAATATGGCCTTTCTAAATCTGGCAACTAAATCTGCCTCCCTCACATTTTCTTTATCTATAATCATTCAAATGTTCCCCATGCTACAGACACTAAATCTTTTACATTCTTCTGAGCAATTTTAGTTTTTTTGTTTGTTTGTTTGTTTTTATCTTTTTTTTTTTTTTGGAGAGATTTTCACTGTAGGGCGCGTGCGCTTGTCAGACAGAGAGAGACATAGAGACAGAAAGCGAGAAATCACCCCCCAGGGGGGATGGTCACGCCGCAATCCCTTCTCCTCCATTCTCCTCTCGGGATCTTGGGCACGCACGCACACGCGCCCGGCGTGAGTTTTAAGCCACTGGGTCCGGGACACGAACCGCGGTCGACTACGTGGGAGTCCAGCAACATAGCCATTACGCTAACTGCTGGTTCCCAGCAATTTTAGTTTTTTATAAAAAGCCTCATTATCTATTTCTATGAGAAGAAAATGTGCAGAAAGGATTACATAACAGAGAGAAAAATATGCAAAAGGCAAGAGGAGTATATAACAGAGAGAAATAAGATACAAAACCCATAGAATGTATTAGCATTTTGAAAACGATGACGAAACAGAGAATGGTAGGTATGGATACAACCAGGACAGCCCCGTTTCATTGTAAAAGACATTAAAAAGCCCACTAATACAATTTGGAGTTTATCTTATGTGCTCAAGGGAGTCATCTGAAGGCTTTAAGCTTGGAAGTAACAGAATCAAACAAATTTATTTTGGCAAGAAGTTAGAGTTGAAAGAAAGTTAGGAAACTTGAAAAACTAAAACTAGAGAAGATGGCAAGTGTTGGGAAAGAAATGGTGGGTATAAAGTGATTAATGACATATATGAGGATGCCATTGCACTGTTTAATTGATTTTCATTCCTTTCTAGGTTCGGACAAGTCTAGGATTTAACATCACCAGTTCTGTCTTGGCTCTATCAGGGATCTTAATAAATGCATTTAGCTTGAGCATTTATTCATTCACTTTCTATTACTGTAATTATCATTCAAATGGAGAAAATTGTTCCATGACCGCATCTATTTTATTGGTAAGTGCTTCCACTTTTCATGAGATACTGTGGTAGAAGCAAGTCATAGGAGGGCTGGCCTTGACAAAAGTAACTTGATTTTCTCTAATTGCTCAATCACTTAGGGCAGTTGAACGTGATTGAGAAAAAGGACAATCTTTTATGTAAGAATAACTTCCATATCTCATCTCTCTCTCTTTTACTATATGTGATGAAGCAAAGTAGGAAGAAACTTAAAATTATAAAAACACTTAATCATTAATAGTTAGTGTACTGGGTATTTTATATAATTTTTCCTGTCCAATTTTAAAATACTAATTAGTATGTACTGTTGGTCCCTCTAAAGATGGAACATAGATTTTAGTTCTTATATGTTCC